CACACACACACACACACACACACACACACACACACACACACACAAATACAGAGGTTACAGTGGGTCAGATCAATCCAGAACAGCAATCCGACAATTTCAGTTAATGAGCAATAAAATCTGATAGGCAGGCTGATACATACTGTCGAATGAATGAATTTTTCATGTGCTTCCAGTGACTGCATGGAGATAGTTACTCAGTAATAAGAAAATAATGACATCCCATGGCCTGCTTACACCTAGAGCACATCATGCAGATATAAACTTGTGGTTGTGGTAGTATATAGGCAGAAGAGGTGCCTTTTTAAAGTGGCAGGCACATTCTGAGTGGGAAAAACATGTTATTGTGAAACCCTGAGTGATACAGAAAATTGTAAGAAAGAGAGGACAGGGGAGGGAGATGAAACTATTTTCAAAGGAAAGGACTGCAATTTTATAAACTAGATTTTAAAATCTTATGTCATGTGCTAATTCATTTCATAAACCAGATTTTAGATCTATGCATGTTCTGTTGCTGAATCAAGTTTCTTTTTGAATGATTTGAAAAACTAACTGAATCATAGTAATTTTGTGTTTGCATAAAATATATGTTAAGAAGTTTAGTGCAGGTTAAAAAGGTTAGTGATGTGCTGTGTAGGACTGGCGCCGGGCTGGCTCCCTTGCACCAGTTAGGCTAAATCAAGGCTAAAAGACAGAAATTTAATTCAAGGTGATAATGTTGCTTAGATGTACTCACCAAACCCACCTTTTATACTATTCATATTGTCAAGGGGGTTGGAAATTTGCCATATAGATCTCTGATTGTATCTTGTGAAATCAATCACATGAGATGTCTTTAGATGCTGTTGCCAGTGGTTTGTCTATTGATTTGTTCAGTTGAACTTGTCTAGGATATGGGTTGATTAACAATGCAGAGTAGAGGTCAGAGTCAGTCAGTAATTGTAATGTGATGCTCATGACGGAGCGGGTGGTGCTAAGGTGGTAAAAGTCTCACTTAATCCATTCATGGACTAACAAGAAAATTCAAACTGTGATGCTGCCAGTCAGTAGTCCGTTTCAACTTCCTGTTGCCGATAAATATTTCATGCAGCTTTTTGCATGCTGTCGTACAGCCTCTGTGTTTGAGTGTAACAGAAGAGAGCCAAAGACTTGTAAGCGAGGGGAAGAGAAGTTCGTATATATCTATATCATGTCTCCTCTCTGCAAAAAGACATCAGTACCAGGCTACTAATCGCATGTTTCAAAGAAAAGGCTAGTTTGAAGACTTTTGAAGACTTCATCTTCTCATTCTTATTATTGCAGTGCTTCAGCAGCTTTACAGAAGCTCTGCAGTCTGTCACTGGCAAATAGCTTTTTTCCTAGTTTTGCACTCTGTCTTGGGGCATCTTGCTCTTTGATGTTGATGTTTTGAGATCTCAGATGTCATTTTATGGTAAGGATTAGGGTGCAGCTCATGATTAAGATCGTCATCAGTCGACACTACTGGGTTGTAAACCACATTCAGCAAACAATAAATTCTTTTGATGGCACACAAATGAGTGTTACATGTCATTTCAGGATACTGGGGTGCTGAGTCTAATGATTCCCCTAAAAACAAAGATTCCTAAAGAACATGCTTGTCATTTGCGTCATTTACAGAACATAACCTGCCATCAGATTCAGTGTGACATTAGAATAAAGTCTTCACATGAAACCCAATTGACAGGGTTTTTTTCTCATAAAGATTGTAACATTATGATGCAAAACTTGTGCAGCAAAAATCAATTTCTCAGCACTTCATCTGTATGCTGACAACAATCCACATTTCTTCCCCCCAAAAATATGGAGCATTACTTGATTTCTGAGCAATTTCTCATGAATTATTCTGTACAGCCCACAAACTGGGTTTGAGCGACAGCTTGCACAAACACCCTACTCCTGATGGCCCTTTGGTCAAAAGAATTGCACCGTCCTTAGTTCACCCTTCAAATTGAATTACATCAACTAGTTGTGGATTACAGTACCACTGTGCATCAATATCGCCAAAGGGAGAGCATGGCTTATAGAGAGCAGTCAGTGAATAATGCATCCTAAAAATACAAACAAAAATGAGGCAATTAATAAACTAATGTTTTCACACAGCTCACCCAACACACTGATGCATGCATTGCACATGTGGATTAGTGTTTCTCTCACTGACCTAACATCAATAATTCTTTTTATGCTATGGACAGGTTATGTAGGTAAAACCTTTGTGTATTGAACACTGATAATACATACATAATTGATCAAATATGACTGACTGTGTTAAATCTTTCATGGGTGGAAGGCATGTCAGAACAAACAGAATACTGACTCAGTGATGAGCATCCATACGGCTTATGAAAGCTATAAGCTGTCACAGTGCAATTATAGTTTATATATGAAGTGTGTGTGTGTCTCGTCATTAATTCAGAAGCATGCTGGTCAGTGAGTATCAGGATGTTCAGTTAGTATTACATTACACATGTAAGTGGTAAGTGGTTCTTCTATAGCACTCTCCTCTACTAAAAAGGCTTTAAACAAAATACCTCATTCACACAAGCACTTTTTTCCTACACTTAAGTGCTTTCTAGCAAATACTCTGATGGATGTTTTGGAGAGCAACTTGTGGTTCAGTATCTTGCACAAGCATACTGCATGCACACTGGAGCAGGCAGGAATTGAACAATCGATCTTCCAATTAGTAGATGGCTTGCTTTAACTCGTGCGTGTCTAATTTCCCCTATGCGTTTACATGAAAGGTGTCATGTTGGCAGCAACGAATCAATCTAAAAGCTGAATTCATGGATCATATTACTCTTTTTCCACAGAAAACACAGAGACATTATCCTGTGTTCCAAAGGTTGCAGGTTAGTGGTGTAAAAGAGTTCGAGCAGCAGATTAGAATGAAGTATGCTAACATTTTATACAGTTTCTACAGCATCAAACTAATTTGAACGTATTCCTCTGACAGTGCAATGCACAGTTTGTGTTTCATGTGGTTTTAGGAAGCTACACATATAAAAGGTACACCCCCAGCAGAGAATCTATATCACACTTAAAACATGCTGTAAATAAAAGAATTAGTGAAAACGTGGGGTGGGGCTTCCATCTGATTTTCAACCCCCTCGGACCATAACCTGCTCCTGACTGTTTTAGTTTTTGCTCTGGCAGCTGCAGACTTCCTGTTGTTTAAGAGTTTGAGAGTAAAGATTGAATATAAAAACAGATTTGAAACATAGGCTTGGTAAAAATTTGATCACATCACCAATTACAGTGTGGGGTTTGTGTTTTAGGATCATATATTAATGCTTTCAGAACAATACATTTTTTGCTGCCAAGAGAAAGAAAATCAAGGAATAAAGTTGGGTCTCATAGTTAATATTTATTACTGACAGCCATTAGAGAAACACAAAGAGATGCTGCTTTGTAGTTTGGGCCTCAGCTTTCTTAATTCATATACAGACATAAACCCAGAATGATTTGCAGTATTTTTAAAACTGTCTTTGCATAATTTTTAACCCTGTAAGACCCAACCTATCAAAAACAGCCAGAAAATTCAAATTCTTTGGAATTGAGATGTTTATTAACCCTTATAACAAAATCCACAATTTCTTTTTGCTGTATCATGTTGTGTATGATATATTTTTATTACATATTTATTATATATATTTTTTGTATCACATTTGATTGGGCATTTTTGGCAACTTTTTCTTAAAAACAATGTTAATTTTAGACAAAAAAGGAGAATTTTCTCAATAACATTTTGAAAGTATGGCAAGTGTTGATCATTTTGATGAGATAGAGGTCTCAGAAACTCATATATCATATATGATACAAAGGGCATTATAGGGTTAAGTGGAAGTTGATTGTCTGTGATATAAATAATATGATTAGCTAAATAAGTTTTCCTTTTTACAAGAAAACATTGTGTAGCACCTTTTCTGGCAGCATAACTCTGTCATCACTGTCACCATAACCACCTGCAGACAGCAGCGGGAAGAAATCCAGGCAATAATGGGAGCGTCAAAACTAACTAACTAAAAACTAACATAAAAAACTGAATGTGCAGTATTGTTACTTCCAATGATTTTCCTTTACTCAGTGCCCTTTGTGTGGTTACAAAGCTGTCTGTCTGAGGTGAGACCAAAGACAAAGTTCCAATAATAAGCGTTCCTTCATTCTCCTTTCCTGTCAGAAAAAGTAGCCACTCGTCTTTGGATCTATTTTAAAAGACAGAATCAAATGCACAGTGGGCCATGAAGGGCCCCACAGTAATTATGTTTCTCCTGCTTTTTTGTGTCATTAATTTTCAGCCTGACCATGTTCACTGGAGCAAGATGACTTTACCCAACAAGTCAGACGACACCTCCTCCCCCTCCTTCCCTCTCTCTTCCCTTGAACATAATTTCTCTGTCTATGTCACCAATGACCCCTCGTACTCCCCCATATCCTTCCCCACATCCTCTTACTCTTTGCTGACTTCCACCAACTGCACCAGCTCTGCTTCACCCTACTCTCCACCATACAACTTCTATGCGGTGCTGTTAGTCCTCCTGATCTTCTGCGTGGTGTTTGGTAATGTGCTGGTGTGCGTGGCGGTGTCTCGAGAACGTGCCCTGCAGACCACCACCAACTACCTCATCGTCTCACTGGCTGTTTCTGACCTGCTGCTGGCCACGCTGGTCATGCCTTGGGGCGTATACCTGGAGGTGTGTGCACTTGTGTTTGTTTTCCCTTCTTTTCTTGTTTATTTTTTTGTGGTTCAGAAGAAAGAGAGAAAAAGAGAAAAAAAAAAGAGAGAATCAAATCCTTAGATGCAATGGAAATCAAGAGGATAAGAGTGTTCGGTAGTTTTCAGCCTTTTTCGAACAAACACAAAGCAAATGAGACCAGTAATATATTAGATAAGAATATGAGCCGACTGATAACCAGCCTTCCAGAATTTCACATATGCTGTTTTGTCTAGCTTCTTATAGTAATTTCAGTAGCTTTGGTTTGTGGACTGCTGGTTGAAAATGAACAATACAAATACATTTTTGTTAGTATGAAGTTAACAGAACAACATTATGGATAAGATTGGTATGGTAATCAAGACAATAATAGGACTTATTAATAATGCGCATATTCTTTTGGAATAACCTGTCAGGTCTTCTCACATTTTGGTTTGCCTTTTGTGTTTTATTAACAAAAGGGGAGAAAAGCTTCCCTTGTGTATCTTTGCTTATTATGCTTCCTTTGTTTTAATTCTATTTTTTCTTTCTTTCTGTTAGTTATTCTGCTTGATTTTTTTTTTTCTTTTGAATTCTGAAATTTGTCTTAGTTGTCATCAGTTCTCCGGGCACTTTCTGTCCTACCATATCCCTTTGTTTGTCCTGAGTTTAATTAAAGTTATCTTTTTGTTTGTGTAGGTGCTGCTTCTGTGTTCTGTATATTGGGTCCTCTTTTTGAACTTCAAACAACACAAAAATACCCACTCACATTTACAAGACCAGTCAACGTAATGTTACATGGTTCCTTATCTTTATTTTATTATAACCTACTCAAAGAAAGATTGAATCAATAAGTGTTTTGGCATTTTTGGCTATTAAATAACACATACCTTTGTCACATATCAGATTGGCTATTGATTATATCACTGATTAATTATTTAATAATTATAAATACTGTTACTCTGTTTTAGTCAAGAATAATTATTGTTTTTTTTTTTAGATCCAAGGGACTTACTTGAATTATTTTTTTAAATCCTTTGGTGCACAGCAATCACTGTTAGAGTGCAAAATACTTATTTCTGCATTATTTAGTAGGTAAACACAAATCCTTTGTCTTTTTCTTTCTGACAGTCTTTGTAGTTAAATTTCAAAAGGAAGTAATGATCTTTATTAAACTATTAAAACTCAAATTAAATATTGAATTATCCAATAAGAAGAAAAAGTTTGAACCAGCCTGGTTAATATTGATGTGCTGCACATGAATAAAAATGTACAAAACGTGATACCAGGTTAAAAAAATGAAAGTGAGTTATGAGTGAGTAAAACTCATTTGCTTTGTTGAAGGTGGTAGGAGAGTGGCGATTCAGCCTCATCCACTGTGACATCCTGCTCACCCTGGACGTCATGATGTGCACAGCCAGTATCCTCAACCTCTGCGCCATCAGCATCGACAGGTGGACGCTTGCCTAAAAATTACTCTCACATTATCACCTTTACTGCTTGTTTGTTCTCTTTTCTCTTTGTGTCTCCTCTTATTGTTGAGCTCACCTCACTTCTATTCTAACAATTTATCTTCCTCTTGAGAATTCCCTTTCAGCAGGAGAACAAGTTATTCTGTTATAAACTATTTGAAATTATATAAGTCATTTTTAACCAAATAACATGACAGTAAATCAGTATGGTATTTCTTCCACCTAATCTTGACCTTTATATTTTTTTTTTTGGCTGGGTTACGCAAATAAACGCTAACCAAGGAGCATGCATTTACATACATTACCTATACAAACCCCACTAAAAACTGCATTGCCATCATCCAGCTGTCACTGAGTAGCCAAATAAAAACTTCTTTCTGCTGCAGTCATCTATCTGTCCACCTTGTAATGACAGGTTTTCACAGTTGCGACCCTAATTAGTATTTGCTTTAGTGGAACCATATAAAAAACCTGATTAAGTGTTCCACCTCACCTGATGCCCTCTTAATGGTCCGGCAAGAGGTGGCCAGACACCCAGCGGGCCGACAGTCTGCAATTGGGTCCTAATTCTTCTGACAAAGTAACACATTTAGGCTGCATCACTTTGATCTTGTGTAATTTGTTATAGCATCTAAGGATAGTCTCTAAATTGTTTTTGTTGAATCCACAGAGAGTAATTTATATATAATTCAGTAGCAAAGCTGTCAGGGCTTAAAGCCCCCAAAGTGACACATTACAAGGACACAGGGGTGAGGTAAAGTGCTGTGATTTAATTAACTCGAGCACTTTGTATAAAGTCATCCAGTGTATTCTGCAAAACAAGAAATAGGACAAATCTAGATAATGATTGTGCAGCTAGTGTGGAGTCATTATTTTGTATTTTACTTTAGGCTTCATGTTCCGAAATTGAACTTTGCTATTTGGGCTGTTTGGGACCTGATGAATGTAAAAACAAAGAATTGCCTGATTTTTATATTTTACTTGATTTTTGTTTCTGACAAAAATGAAATCCACATATGAGGGCATTTGTTTTCAATTTTGATTGAACAGTGGCAGCATAATGTCCTTGTAAATGGATATCAGGCCCTTGTGGAGCAACATTTAATATTTTGGTCTACACAACCCAAAATGTGATGTCCACATATGTGGACGCCAGGTCCTAGGACATCAATTAGGTGCAGAAATGCATTTGTTTCCTCTGCATTGACGTGCATGTTAAGACACAACCATAAGTGAACGTGTAGGAGGCGCGTTAATGTGTCTGTGTGTATGTATTGTTGCAGATATACAGCGGTGGCAATGCCATTGCTCTACAACACCAGATACAGCTCCAGGAGGAGGGTGGCGGTGATGATTTCGGTTGTGTGGTTCCTTTCTTTTGCCATCTCCTGCCCTTTACTGTTTGGGCTGAACAACACTGGTAACAGTGCCATCTGATACTTTTTGACTTTTTCAGTGCTCAGCTGTAAATTGTTTTCTTTAAAATTATAGAACTGTTTCTTTTTTTTAATACAAAAACAGTCTTTCCAAAATGTCTTTAAATTTGATTATTCATCTTTCAAAAATATAATGCTGTGACATTTCAATATGTTGGCATCATCGATGGTTAAAATTGTCTCACAGTAGTAGCAGTAGGGAAGGTGCCCAGCAGCTAACCTTATTGGAGAGCTATGAGGTAGAGAAGCATAGTCCAGCTCCACCTCTAGGTACATGCAGACCCCGACCTCCTTATCTATAAACACTGGGAATTGGTGCTGTCTAGTCCATTTGACTCTGCAGTGAGCACGAGTTGGTGATGAAGGACTTCAGCTTTCAAAGCACCCACACTGAACTCAAAGGCGGCCACTTGAGAATAAGTGGGGAAACATAGAGTAATGCGAGGGTGAGCAAGAGGCATCCGGCAGCCTCAGTTGTGGGTCCAAATGCAGCAAGATACCAAATGATGTAAGTCAAACTGTGAAAAATATTCTCTCTCCCCAGAAATGTGTTGCTCGTAGATTACAGCACGGCATTTGAAAGGTGCTCTGTGCATTGCTTTTCATTCAGTTCCAGCGCCAGCGTTTGAATGTAAAGGATCACATTGCATCATTGGTGGCTTGCAAAGCGACCCATGGCTCTTGAGTTGGGAGTTCGCCTTGTAATCGGAAGGTTGCCGGTTCGAGCCTACCGCCTACTGGTGTTGGCCAGAAGTGGCGCGACATGGCAGCCTCGCTTCTGTCAGTCTGCCCCAGGGCAGCTGTGGCTACAACTGTAGCTTGCCTCCACCAGTGTGTGAATGGGTGGATGACTGGGTGTGTAAAGCGCTTTGGGGTCCCTAGGCGGGACTAGTAAGAGCGCTATACAAATACAGGCCATTTACCATTTGCAAATGTAGGTTTGATGAAACGCCAATGAAAACAGCATTTTACTTCATGAGTTAACATTTTTAACATGGTGTTCTTAAAGCGCTCCAAAAAGTTTCAAGATCAAGAAGAAATGAATGAGTTTAATGGTAAATTCAACTGATGGTTATTACAGCTGACAAAGAGTGGAAACAGATGACCAAAGTTAACAGCACCTTTAATACAGAATAATTGAATATGTTGTACTCTTCCATACATCTTTACTATGATTATCATAGAGTAGATTTGCCCACCGCCAACCTCAACTGTGCATCCAGTGCAACAGAACTGATTCATGTTTCTAAGATGGACTGTTCATCAGTTTTTAGGGTAGCAGAGCCACAGATTCCTATTTAGGATAACTTGAGTGCCATCTCACTTGTCTTTATAATTGCTCTGATAATAGTTAAATTCTGCACCAGTTTAAATCCTAGGTTAACCTCTCTTGCCTTTTGTCTTTGTACTTTACACATAGACAGATAAATCTTGCAATTATCCCTAAAGGCTTCTGTACTATATCCATTCTTTGCCCCTTTTTCTTTTTTTCTGCTGCACATTAGCAAATCGTGAAGGCACCACGTGCAGCTTTGCAGACCCGGCATTTGTGGTGTACTCATCTGTGGCCTCCTTCTACGTTCCCTTCATTGTAACATTGCTGGTGTACGCGCAGATCTGCCTGGTGCTGCGCAAACGCGGCAGACGCACTGCCCCGCCACGCAGACACGGTTTGCTTGCGCAAGGTGCGGCTGAAGCAGAAGGTCACCGACACAGGAAGGTAGATTTCATACCAAACTAATGTTTATCAAGCTTGAGTCAAGTTTGAGTTTTCTTCCAGCCATTTTGCAATTGTAACGAGATAGAAAGTTTAGATGAAGTCAACAACAGTCTTCATCATATTTGAAAAACACTTTTGTAACTTCAGATACACACACTTCATCTCATGCACAGTGTAATTTCCATAAGATGACACTAGATTCTTGTCCTACCAGCAAATATATTTTACTGTGAGATATCAGTTTCCAGTTCTTTTTTGCATTATCTTTTCTTTTCAATATACACGGCATTCTTCCATTTCAGAATAAGTGTACACAACCAGAAGATGTGAAGCTGTGCACCCTGATCCTGAGACCTGCCTCTGCAACCCCACAGCGCAAGAAAGTGGTGAGGGTCATAACTTAAGCCAGCACTCAGTCCAAACGGATTCTCTTTTTATTGTCATTTTTATGCAATTCTCACACAGAGCCTGGTTAAAGAGGCGGTGGTTCACCCTCTTGAAGTGGAGCCAGGTCATTTCCTGCCACAGAATGAGCAAGGTCTGGCTCCTCCGCCTCCTCCTCAGGCCTCTTCGAAATCTGGACGACCCCGGATCTCCCTGTCCATCTCGGTTGGACCTGCTCCTGTTCTCCCCTCAACCGTGACACGATCGGCTCTGACACCTCGTCCTCCCACCCTTGAGGATGGCATGAGGGGCCGTGAGGGATGGAGGGAGCGCAGTGCAGGCAAAGAGAAATGGGGCATCACCAAGGAAAGGGTGAGAGGGAGGCTGTCACAGCAGAAGGAGAGAAAGGCGACGCAGATGCTTGCTATTGTGCTCGGTAAGCAGTGGGAAATGCAGACTTATTAATGAGGTGTTCTCTGCACCACGTGTGCATGCTCAATCTTCACTTGTAGTTTGTCACACTGTGCGCTGGTGCATTCACAAACTCTTTCTACCTGAAAGCCAGACCATTCCTAAGTCTCTACGACATTGTTTTTCAAGATATCCTTCTATATCTAGTGAAGGCACAGAACACATCTAAGCTAACAGAACAAAGTTAATTTAATTTAATTTAATTAAGGCTTATCTATATAGCGCCGATGTGTACTATAAGGTATTCAGTACTGCATCAATCAAGCGACAGAGGTTAATGAGAAGAGAAAAAGTAAAACACAGAGAAACAGGACAAAACACAAAACATGAGAGTGATTAGACAAAAATATGATGACATTGATTAATGATATTTCTTTGTTCTTTGTCTCCATGCTTTGTCCTGTTGTATGTTTGTTGTCTTTTTTTGGTCTATGTGTGTGTGCTGGTATATAAACTTGTGGCGAGTGAAAAGAGGTGAGAGTGGAAGAAGTGCTCATGCATCACATTAAGTCCCGCAGCAGTCTAAACCTATAGCAGCATAACTAATGGATATTTAATCCAGCTTTAACTATAAACTTTATGAAAAGGGAAAGTTTCGTGTCTTATCTTTAAAAGCAGAGGTGTCTGTCTCCTGAGATGGCTCCACGGGAGAGGGTACTCTTAGCTGATTGTAGCTTGTCCCATGTATCATCACATTTGCTCAGATGCCTTCATCTTATTTAGGTATTTTCACAAGTTTGCTGAGATTGCATACAGAGAGCAATAAAAGACTAAATAAAAATTAAACCAAAAATATGGGTTAAAACCAGCAATCATGAAATGTTTTTTAATACATAAAAGGTGACTGTAGATGTTTACTGTACAATAATTCCCTTGAGCCAGTTCTGTATCGCAAAAGGAAATGCAATCACCTTTGGCAGAATGAAGAAAAACTCTAGATGAAATGTGTCCCGAGGGCTCTATTCTGAATAACTGAAAATAATTTGATTTCTCCAGATGAAAGATTTTACATGTAAATTTGGAGCAAGTTTTCCTTATGTCAGTTGGAGAAACAGTGATGAATGTTAGCATTCACAGCAGCAGTTTTTATGGCCTTTATTATTTATGACTTCTGACTTGATTGTATTTTTCTCACCAAGCTCATTTGTTGTGTGATTTATGAGATTTGGCAGTTCTGACTCTGAAACTGGGATAGATGATATCCTCTGTCTGTGTATTTACTGACTCAGTGGTTTTATGAGGGTGTGCAAACTACAAATGTACAAGTAGACAAGATATTTAATAAATTACATCCTTGAATGATTTCTGTGACACACAAAGACATAACCCCCGTCTTGTCTTTCTTTCAAAGGTGTGTTCATTATCTGCTGGCTGCCTTTCTTTCTGACCCATGTACTGAAGGCCCACTGCAGAAGCTGCTGCATCTCACCCTCTCTGTACAGCGCCGTTACCTGGCTGGGATACCTCAACAGTGCCGTCAACCCTGTCATATACACCACTTTCAACATTGAATTTCGCAAAGCCTTCATCAAGATCCTGCACTGCTAGTCCAAAAGGATGAGAGGTGTCAGTTGTCCAAAAATAAAAAAATAAAAACGCCTGACATCAATTTGAGTTCTGAGGTGAGAAAGAGCTGAGTAAGAAGCAAAGATAAAGAAGTGTGTGGCAGGTTTGATGTGCAGAGATGGGAAGTGAGACAAAAGAGTGGACAGCTGATAAGTCGAAGTGGGACAAACTTTTCAGAAAGTGAATGACAAGAGAAATGTAACAAATAGCTTACACAAGACTGAAGAAAGAAACTAGGAGGCAATCACAAAAAAGCGTGTGACAAGTAGAAGACAGGTGCACAAAACACAAGCAAGCGGGAGATATTCAAAGAAAAGAAGACGTGTGCTGCGTTGTACAAGATAATACGCTTGTCAAGAGAATTACTGAGGACCGGGAATCTCAGAGCAGCAGCTTGACTCAAAAACTTAGCGTAAGTTGGACTCCAAGAAACGTGACTGTTTTTCCAATTTACTGGAAGACTTAAGTCGTACTTGTATTTTCTTGTATCACTGACAAAAAGCACCTTATCAGTTTACATGTGCTTGTCTTTCCCAGAGGACTGGAATAAGTCAGGGGAAAGGTGGGAAAACAGCTTGCGTACAGCTTAAAACTCTGACAGCCAATGATCAATAATGTTTCATACGTCTTTTAAAAAAAATCCCCATTGCATTGTGTAACAATTATTGATTTGGTGACTGAGCAGTAACAGTCAAGACAGCTTTCATGCATTTTAGTATGTACAGTTCTTTCTCTAAATAAGTTGCTTATAAATGTAAAGGTGAGTGTTGTAAACTTTGCTTTAAAGTTTTGTGGGATGTACAAATAATCAAATAAAAATCATTTTCATCCATTACTTGTGTTGTTTTAAAATCACTACCATCTTATTTAATGGAAAAATATACTTTTTTGTCAAATTACAGTGCAAAAAAATACAATCACTTCCACTGTATAGGCCAGTCCTTTCCCTACTTGATTGTAAAGTACAACTTACATCCTGTGTCAGTGTCACAGGGATGGTGACTGTGTAAAGTCTTGTGTAGTGAGACAGGACTGTGAAGGCACACTGAGAATTTTGAACGAGCCGTTTTCTAGCAGCTTGGACATTTTTCTGCATATATGTGTGTACTGCTTCTTCTCAAAAGATTTAGGAGAGTTGTGTATTATTTAAAATTTCCCTGGCACTTGCATCCATGGAATATATCTTTTATAGTATTGATTTGAAACACACCAACATTCTGCCCTGAAACACTGTTGAGGAATTGGTTTAATCACTTTCAGCAGGAAGGTTCTGGGTTTTAATCCATCAGCCATCTGGGGCCATTTGGTATGAAATTTGTATGTTTTCACTGTGCCTGGGTGGACTCCCTCCAGGTACCCAAGCTTCCGACTACAGCCCAGAGACATGCATGTTAGATTAACTGGTGATTCTAAATTGGGAGGAGTAAATGTCAACATGGTCAGTCTCTCTGTGTTGGCCCTGTGATACACTTGTAATCTGTCTAAGGTGTGCCATGTTGTGAAACCCCAAACTGGACAAATGATCAAGAAAATGAATGGACCATTTGATATTTTAAGAAATATGCATGCTGTTCTTTGTGCTAAGGGTCAAAGGATGTGAAAAAGATTAAATCAGTCTGCTTTCCAGCACTTCTGAACACCACAAAGTTTTTTCAGGGAGGTTCATGCATGAACTATTTCTTGGTTCATAACTTTCTGAAATCTCTGCAGGTTACCTGGCCTGAAATAGGATATTGTGAATTCTTCTGATAGCCCGCTAATTATAGTGACTCATTTTCATGACTGCTTTAGTTCAAGGCAACAGGACTACTCATTTAGATTAACCTGGGACCAGCTCCTAAGGCTGCATTGTAGGCTGCTGATAGTTGGTGTGCAGTCCACGACCCCTGTTCACTGAAAGCAGGGGAACAATTTATTATTACCTCCACTGTAACTCCAGCTTACAGCTTTGGCTCTTTAGCCTTTTAGTAGTTTTTACCAAGTGGAAGCGACAGTCACATCAGTCTTCCCATCCACCTCCAATCAAAATATCAAACTCTTTAAACAATAATTTGCATAACCTGTGCTGTAGTGCAAGTCAATCCTGTTCCTTTAAATCAATAATACCAAGAAGGAAAATCCATTGTGTGAATATTTTCAGTGTTTGATGTAGGAAATTTAGAAAACAAATGACAAGTACATGTATCTCTGCAATTACGTGTAGTTAATAAAAGAAATGCTTCAAGATCCAAATTGTCAGAGTTTGGCTGTGATAGAAAAACAAACCGAAGTTTAACACACTCTGTGTTTGACTTGCAGCTTCCTGACAGTAACTCTGCCATTCAGTCATTTAAATAGCTGATGTCTCTTTCTTCACTGGATAAAAAAATGATACTGTTAAGTTGAAAACGCTGCTGTACCTCGAGGGCCACTGCCAAGATGGCAAACACGAGTTCCTTCACTCCTCTTCTGACTGATACCTCAGGGAGGTGAAGCTGGCAGAGCTGTGTCTGTTTGACAAGCTGAGATTGGTGCGAGTTGTATGGAGTAAATAAGGCGATGCGGGAATGCAGAAACAAACAAAGTGTGCGTGCTTTATTTATTTATGCATCCTGTCAGTCTCATGAGCAGGCAGCTTCTCAAAAAACTACAATAAAACTACTCCAACTATTTACAAGAAGCAAATGCTTCTAAGCAGTACCAGACCATGAAACATTACATAGAACAGTTGATAAAAAAATAAAATCACAATATTTGCTCCAATAGTAGGGGTGGGGGAAAAAATCGATACTGTGTAGTATCGTGATATTTTGTTTGCTAATAATGTATCGATACAGGGACAGCAGAAATCGATATTTTGTTACAAAAATTTTTTTTGGCGATGCTCTGGATGACTGTGACTTCAGAGCATGTTGATCCTTTTTCTGAGCAAGAATCCTGACATTCCTTCACTGTCCAAATGTGTTTAACTTTTTTTTTGGCAGCAATAAACATGACAGTTTACTTATTTTAATTTAAGACATGTTTTATTTTAATTAAGTTTAAAACTTTTTTATTTAATGTAAAATTATATTTTGTTTTAATTTACTTTCAAATTCTTCAGTTGCTGAATGGGCTGCATAGTTTTCATAAATTGCATAGTTCAGAATAGCTATAATTGTACCAGATGGTTGCATTCAGTTAAGTTGGACTAGACTGTAATACAAACCGTTCAGTTTGTCAACAATAAAACTGACTGAAATGAGAGAAAGACTGAGTGTGAGACTTTGATATTAGATAAAATGAATATTGATAAAGTTTACCTTTATGTGCAGAATTTAAATATCGCAAAATATTTTTAAAAAATCGCAATAATATCGTATCGTGCGTTAAGTATTGTGATAATATCGTATCGCGAGTTGTATGGTGATTCCCACCTCTATCCAATAGTAGAGAAAGCAGTGACAGTTTGCTCAGCTAAATAACACAGAAACAAGATATCTCAAGAGGATGGAATTTTGTAGGGTCTATATTTTGAATTTACAAATTGTGTCTGTTTTTTCTAAGGCAGCCACAAAATATGTCAAACATGTCAGTCCAGACGGAACTGATATTCATGATCCTTATAGATCACTAACTTTTCTATGTGAGGCAGATTCTCCATTTACATGCACACATTGAAATCTTTGAGACTGATACAATTAAAACCACGGCGGCACAGTTATTATTTGAATTTTGAATTTTTGCTTTTTTACTCTAAATTATTACTTTGTATGGCATGACTGTGCAGTCGTTACCTCTCTTTAGAGAAACATTCAAGCCTGATGATTGGCTGAGGCATTATGTGTCTACGTGTCCAATGCCGATGTTCCATGTTTGCTCCCAGAAGTAAAGTCACTGTAACCTAGAACAGGTAAGGTAACACTACGACGGGTCAGTTGTCACTGCCGCCACTCTGCGCCCTCTCATGCTGTAATTTGATAGTATGAACAAAATACCACTGAAAAGAGTGACCACAAAAAGACACACAGAAACAATCCTGCTTCTTCAGATTCATAATGGGACCTTTATTCTTAGATACATATCTACTTCATCTGCATGAAACTGAACTATGTTTTTGTGTCTGTACTCACACAGTGGCCTACTTGTTAGTGGAAGAGGCTCATTGGTATGATGTAGATTATCTGTTGTTAAACTCTGACCTAAGCGCACAATTATCCCCATGCATATTTCATAGACTGCCAGCAACAACATATCTGTTACTGGCCTGACTGCTGCAGCCTCGCCTGCTCTGTCTAGAGGAAAAACCTGAGTTGGAGAAGTAGGAAGAGGAGAGAGGAGAGGAAGGAGAAGGAGAAAGGTGCTGAAGGGTGTGACACAATGAAAGGATTAAGTGGGAGGACGAGGTGAGCTGCAGAATCACAAGAGCGCGAGTGACAAACTGTAACCTGCGTGAGCTGAAGAGGATGGATTCACAGTAGGAGAGCAGATATCTTTGGATTAAAGATGCACAGGAGCCAGCAGGCACCTGAGTCTTGTCACTAACGGTGATGCATTTCTTTTCCTGGCTGTGGTACAAGCCGGTTTAATAAGTGGAGGAGGCGCGTGGATAAATAATCCCATGCATACAAATGAAGCCAATACATGCAAATCTCCATGGGTGACGTTCAGGTGAGCGCTCTTGAAAATATATGTTGATGAGACTGACACACAAGGAAGTCACAGAAGTTGTTGTGTTATGAACAATGCGGGTAACAGGTGTCTTTTCTTGCACACGTTTATCACAGAAAAGTTGTATCCACTCATATTTTTTAATATAACTAATTTTTGAGAGTGCTATTATCTTACTTTGCATTTTGAATAACTTTGAATAACTTTTCCATGGATTCATTAGTATTTTTCTCGCACCATGCCTGCATTTCGGTAGTTCTTAGGTCAATAATTGCCCATTGTAAACTTAATATACGTTATATTATGTGTCAATTCTAGCAGTCAAAATCCATCAGAATGTCAGAGTATTTCTTACAGATGCATTGTTGGAAGCTCACGTTTTGTCATAACTTTGTTAATTTTGCAGGTTCTAGCCAAGGTTTCTGTGTTTGTTGGCAACAAAACCTAAAAAGTATGGCTCAGAAAGACAGCACCAGCTCTTGTCATCAAGCAAACGCACCAAACTTTTTATCACCTCAGCACTGGGCATCAACATCTTTTCAAAGTCCAATCAGTCATGATGTATTGAGTATATCGTCTTTGGTTCCTTCTACAGTCCTCACATTCATACCCCAGTATAAACCCACAACTAATGGAAACCCACATCCAGAAGATCTGCCCTTTTCTGATGAGACCCCAAAGCTGCAACCTCTTGAAGCATCACCTTCTAGTTCAGTGTCCTCAGAAGCCCAAGATCAAAAAAATGTGACGTCAGCGGCTCCTTGTAGTGATAATCCTCAAGAAGTTCAGCGGAGGATTCAAACAGATGGAGGTCCACTGCAGGACACATCAATAGGTATCATGTTTCCAAAAGAGCTACATGATGGAGTCCCAGGTATGGTAATAATTGAAGGTGTTACTTCAATGTACAGTTTTGATAATGTGCCAGGAAAAATCACACTTTGAAACACGGGGCCAACATCCTTTGCTCATAAATAACATTTCTATAAGTGCGAAGCGTTGGAGTTACATGCAGTCTAGAAACTTGGGGTGCAGCAGGCTTTATCTGTTGCTGTAACAGCCTCTCCTTTTCTGAGAAAGCATTTCATAAGATCTTTGAGCCCAGCTGACACAGGATCAGAAGTACACTTATAGTGAAATGTATGTGGTTGTATCAGGGATCGGGGTTCTGTGTAGGCCAGTGTATTCCTTCCACAAGCTTTAAAAAAATTACTTTATGGAGTTTCTTTTGTTCACAGGAGGCTGTAAAGTGGCGACAAACTGTTCCTAAAATCCTGAAAGCATTTTAGAAAAATTTACACAAAGATTTTACAAAAATACCACCATGTCAGATACGGAAAGGTTTGGCATTTTAGAAGTACCCATTTATACTGTACCCATTTAGATTAGATTAGATGAAACTTTATTAATCCCTTCGGTGGGTTCCTCCGGGAAATTCAGTTTCCAGTAGCAGAAGTTGCATGTTACAGATACAATAAAGGGGAATGAGAGTAAGGATATAAATATGCCATATATACACATATACACATATATAAATACAGAATATATAAAATAGGGATAAATAGGAATACCAGTGGATTGCACATTTGAGTGAGTCTATTGCACAGTGATTATTGCACAGTCGAATATAAGAAAAAATATAGCGAATATTGCACAGTGAAAAAAAGCACTACAGCTCAGTTTCCCCTCCCTCTCTCCCCCAACGAGGAGTTAAACAGTCTGATGGCATGTGGGACAAAGGAGTTTTTACCGTAGGTCTGTTGGTTCTTGACTTTGGGAGAAGCAACCTGTCCCTGAATAGGCTCCTCTGATTATTTACGACCGTGTGCAGAGGATGTCCAGCATCCATAACCTCCAGCAGTTAGTGTTAAACCTAAAAGTTAGATAAGCATATATTTTCAAAATGAAACTGAATGTCCAGCTTTACATTGATGCAATCAACAGTACTTGTGTCAGATGCTATTTACAAGTGAAGTGTAACTTTTTGTTTTATGGGAGAAAACTGATTTAAATCAAATATTATTAGCAAAGTGTGTGAATCCCAAAAGATGACTTAGTCATTGTAATTGAGATTTTTAATTACCAGTGCACTGGTAATTAATTAATGTTTAATCAATCTTCACTTATATTTCTGTGGTAAATAGTCAAATCTCTTAGCCTTTGAGGATTGATTGAAGACAAACACATCTGCAATTTCTTCTTGCATACTCTGAACCCCTCCTGAGGAAGCAGCCTTAATGTGATTTTGAAAAATAGCACATATGTTTCTCACTTCAGCACCCGCTTCTATCCACAGTCATTTGGCAATTTACTATAACTTTGATGAGATACATAGATTTTCGAACACACAGACTGCTGAGGCAGCTGTTTAGATCCTCAGTAATAACATGTGAGCTATTGCTCCTGTGCAATCTTTTTTCTTTATCACTTTTTGACCTCAAAGTGGCCTTGGTGCCATTGTGCATGAAATAGTTTAAAGGTCTCCTACTGCGGTGACTGGAACTTTTCTCTTGGACTGCCTTTGGCAAATAGAAAGCAGGACAAGAAAAGAAAAGAAAGAAAAAAAGCAAAGAAAATAATAAAAGAAATAATAAGAATAAACATAAAAGAAAATTCATTTGTAATTTTAAATCTGCTTCATATTTGTCACTGATACTGCCAGTTGTATCGATGACTAATTATTTCTGCATCTATGCTATCTGTCATTAGCGTTTGGCAAGGCTGTAAATATATAATACAACAAGTTCTTGCAATTAAACTTTAAAAATAAAAATGACATATCAGAGTACCATGCAGCATGTTAAACAGCTCGTTGCCTCTTTTTCCTACTCCATCAGCTGATCCTTTTATCTGATCATGATTCGCAAAGAATTATAAAGAATTCATCGCTTTGGTTTCAGTTTCTCATTTGTCTCACCTTCAGGCAGGCATAGTTGAAGATAAGCTCAGCTTATCAGCTTCTCCATTCTCTTCCATTTTAATTTAAGGGAAAAAACTTGTGGCAGACTTTTTCAGTCTCTATTTTTTACACTGTGCCGTCATCATAGTATTACAAATACACCACAGTAGGCAGCATTGCAGTGTTATATAGATGAAACAAGAAAATAGTTCCTTTGGAGAAAAAGCATAAATTATCTACTGGAGTTCATGATTTTGTTGCCAAAACGTTACCATTTGTTCCCCTGTCGATGCGAACACAGCATAGAGGTTTTCACATTTCACTAGTAGTAATCCATCTTGACTGTATCAGTGAAACACAAAATTGATTTCAAAGTTGTTGGGGGTTTTTTTGCCTTACTTATATTTCATGCAACTCACGCTTTACATATTATGGATGTGTTCTGTCCTCAGGATTTTGTCTGAGCAGAACTTTTGTCCCAGAGATGCATATTCACCTTCACACTGATCGCCCTTGACAACTGGTTTAAGGTTTATATCACACTTAAATAATAAACTATAAATAGTTTAACTGCTAAATACTGTAAGTGTAGCCAAAACATATGGTTACACCACCTGTTTGCCGTATGTTCAAACCTATAATCACAGCTTTGAGCACAAGTGTTTTCTATCCTCGACCTTTATGCATCACTACATTAAGTTACACACAGAAGAATTTACACATGTAAGACAAGTAAAACAAATTCGACTGGCTGAACCAACATTTCAATAAATGTTTAATAATGATGGTTGTTTGTTCACAATAACAATACAACTCAAATTACAGAGAGTAGTTTTGCATAATAGTCAAATGGCACCAGATAGCTTATTAACATATGGTGGCACTGTTGCCTCACAGCAAAAAGATCCTGGATTTGAATCCACTGGCAGGTTCTGGGTGGAGTTTGCGCGTTCTCCCTGTGGCTGCATTGGTTTCCTCCAGCTGCCTCTTACAGTCCAAACACTTCCAAAGCTAACTGGTGTTTCTTAAATCGTATTTCTGAGTTAACCCTGTGATAGACTGGTGGCCTGCCTTTCACCCTGTGATAGCTAATATAGACTCCAGCCCCCTACAGCTCTCATTTGGATAAATTGTTAAGAAAATGTGCACGGTTATCATCTTTGGCTTGTTCTCACCTAAACTACACCTATCTAAAATCTAAAAGGGATCTCCAAAATTCACACATTTGTCAAAGTATGATGATATGATAAAACCTCACAGTTAGTTTGGTTTACTACAACTGTCCCAGTCAATTAATAAAGATGATGAAGACAGGATGTCTTGGAGCTCAGAGCTCCTTGCAAAGTTTTAATATTTCTTGTTATTTCTTGTTTGTTTGCAGATGCAAGATCCCATGCCTGTACATCTCGTGACCTGTTAATGTTTGTGGGAATCTTTGTCACTATAAAAGTGATTATCGCTTCTGCTCTTTTAGGTAACCCACTCTGAAAAGCAAGGTACCTCCAGTACATCAATAGCACGTTGAATTCTAGTGTTTAACCTCCTAGGACCTGACGTCCACATATGTGGACATCACATTTTGGGTTATTTAGACTAAAATACTCAATTTTGCTCTACAAGGGCCTGATATCCTTTTACGAGGACATTATACTGCTACTGTTCTATCAAAATTTTAAACGAATATCCTCATATGTGGCTCTTATTTTTCTTAAAAACAAAAATAAGATTAAAAAAAATCTGGTAATTTTTTGTTTTTACATTCATCGGGCTCCAATATACCCAAATATCAAAGAGAAATTAAAAATGCATGCAGTGGACTATTTTGGGTCTTAGGAGGTTAAGAAACAAACCTTCTCATCATGCAGTTACCACTAATATTGCAAAAAGAAAATCTAAGTCTGCAGACTTTTTGCCAGATGCAAAAAGAATCAAAAACTTAGAATGTTCTACATCATAATATGCCACTTTAGTATAATAATTGTAATAAAACACCCAGTTATGTCATTCAGCCTTACTGCTTTCTGTAACACATCAGTGAGCATACATAATAGGTTTCTCTGATTACGATTAAATACAAATGAAATGAGAAAAAAACCCCAAGTTAATTAGTTCTGAACATTCACTATGCCAGTTATTAAATCCTCTATGAAGCCTCCTTCTGGGAAATAAATGACATTGTTGGAAAAAGTGAAACCAAAACGCAAAGATAGTGTAAAATGGTTTGCTGAGGTTCCAAATTTGAAACCAGCAGCTATTAAGACTGATCTCAGTGTGAGGAGTTTTTAATGTTAATGTTTCACTACCCACTTGAGACATTGTACTGTGTCATCTGAATGTTTTTTTTCTCTCTTCAAATTAGTTAAGTTCTTGCTGTTTCCCTCTGAGGTGGGTGAATCACCTCCTCTCTGTGGTGGGAAAGGGAGCTGCACTGTCCCAACCCAGAGGCCCGTTCTGTCCAAGAATCCAGTGAACCAGACAGGAAATATGACTGCAGGTAAAGAATTTAAATTTCATAGTAACTAATGCATTTTGTCTCCAAAGCTCCAAGGATGGCAATCTTCACTGCCACTCCAATTTACTGCTCATCTCTCAAACAAAAGATGTTACTTACATATCCATCAAGCATCTGGCAGTTATGTCTGTACTTTTCTAAGTCTTTTCATGGAAAAGGTTTTAGTAGAATATTACCATAATAATTTCTCACATTAAACACCTTATATTCTTAAAATTAATCAAACCACCTTTATGGTCATCTTATTTTTTTTTTTTTCAAAAAGAGCTTTTGCATTTTTTTTTTTTTTGCACTCATTGTCTGTTTGCTTGATTTCGTGTTCTTCATCTCATATCCAGACTGCTCAGTTCTGGTCAGCAATGGTCAGCGTATTGTTGGAGGAACCTTAGCTACAAAGAACGAGTGGGCCTGGCAAGTCAGCATGCAGTGGAGGGGAAGACACGTCTGTGGTGGTGCCATCATCTCTCCTCGTTGGGTGATCACTGCAGCACACTGCTTTGTTGAGTAAGAGAGACACGAGGAATGACAAGAAAGAAGTGTTTACGAGTTCAGTTACTGGTACAGTCAGTTAGCAAAGGCTGTAGTCACGACCACCTGCTCAGTCCGAGGTAACACCGTGTTCCTGTTATGTTCAAGTCAAAAGCAGGTAAAGGGTGAAGTAAAAACTTTTTGCACCTTTTTGCACCTTTTTGCACCTTCTGCAGCAGAGCAGAGCTCCATCTGTGATGTGATCACATCACAGATGGAGCTCTCTGTTCCCCGTGAGTGTTCATCTTGGATTATGAGCAATGGGTGTGGATTTTTTGAGCACAACTACAAACCAAAAGCAGCTCCTAATGTTTGCAAGGCTAAAGTGAAAATAGAAATACATGTAATTTGCGATGGCTGAGGCCTAAACCGTGATTGTAATAATGCTGGAGGTTGTATGATATTATGAAAAAACATTAAAAAACAAAACTGTGAAAATTAGTGGGCACACACACCGCTTCTTAAACCGAACTCTATCTACTAACTTTTCTGTCACTCTTCTGCAGTAATAACATGCTTCAAGTAGCTGACTGGACGGTTGTGGCAGGCACTGTAAGCATTGCACACAACTCTCTGGGGCAACACTACAGGGCACTGCAGATCCTCTACCACCCTGGCTTTAAGGTTATGCACAATGACTATGACGTGGGACTGCTGCGCACCATAATTGACATGGACATGACGAGTAAGTAAGAGACAGATTGCGCTATCATTCATCAGGGCAACGAAAACCACATCATTTGTTTTTCTTTACGCTGAATGAATGCTGGAGTCTAGTAACTTGTTGAATGTATGTAAACTAGCCAGATTTATGTCACACAAGACAAACAGACAATGTTTCACTGTCTCTTTTTATAACTGTATTTACTTACATTTGACTCATGAAAAGAACTTAATGTGACTTGATGCACGTTTAAATTTTATTATGATTAAGGTCAGGACAGATGAAATATTTCAAGAAGTGTAATCCCTTTTGGGCTTGAGGGGGAGATTAGGAGCACTTACATCACTGCACTAATCATTGCAATCGCTGTCATATTGCCAAAACAAATATTTAATTTTTACCAAAACTTAAAACAATAAAGAAAGAACGAACTAAACACCTAACAAAATCCAAATCGTCAGAAGTTAAACTTACTTTTAAATCAAGAGAAAAACATGTATTACAATCATAAATGTGCGTGGGGGGAAAAAGGAAATATGTGATTTCATAACCACGAGAGAGAGCTAACCTTTATCACTTTACTGCTGCTCTTTGTAGGTGGGGTCCGACCGGTCTGTTTACCCAGTCCAACCGAGTCCTTTCCTGATGGATCAGACTGCTGGATCACAGGCTGGGGATACGTAAATGAAAACACAGGTGCACTGCACTGAAAGACAGATACTTTTGCTACAGTTTGTGATCTTAACAACTGAGCTAAAAGAAAGTGATTTGATAACGCAAGTATAATTTAAGTTGGAGCTTCAAATAGCTTCAAAAGCTCACAATCATAGTTTCAGAGTTGGAAACTGTAGGGCAAAAACTTTTTAAAGAGCCATATTTGTCAGTACAGTATCCTCATTGAAGCTAAGACGTTAGACTTAATTACTAGATACAAAAAATATTAAGTATAAAAACAAAGTCTTTTTTCTTTTTCCTGTCATTCATTATCTTTTGAACTGTGTAACATTTCCACTAGTCACCTTCAAGTAACCCTTTCTACTTATTTTCATTCACTTTTTGCTGCTGATTTTTTCATTTCATTTTCTGTCAGGCTATGTGTCAGAAGAGTTAAGGCAGGCTCATGTTAAGGTAATAGCTCAATCCATCTGCTACGACTTGAGTGTCTATGGTCTCTTCATAACTCCTCGAATGATTTGCGCTGGGAGCATGGATGGAGGGGTTGACTCTTGCCAGGTACACACCCACAGAGATGAAATCTCCTCTCCACAAACCTAGCACAGGTTCATGAAGAATATAAAATATATTTTACAATCTATATACGTTTACAATATACTTTACAATCTATCAAGAGTTGTGTTTCTCCCATTTGATGTTCACAAATTTTGTTTGTGAAATGATTTTCTCTTAAGGGGGACAGTGGTGGACCACTTGTGTGTAAGACATCTAAAGGGGATTGGAAGCTGGCAGGCGTGGTGAGTTGGGGAGAGGGATGCGCACGGCCTAATAAACCAGGCGTCTACAGCAGAGTAACTGAACTGCTTCAGTGGATTGAACATTACATAGACATACAGGTATGGGAAGCACTTTTCCTCACCGCTTGTAAATGTAAAACCTATCTTTATCTGTCGCTCTGTTTCGGAGTCAAAGTTCTGTTAGTTTATTTACTGCATCTGTGTCACAGTCTATCTAAAAATGCTTTTCTATTTTCATTTTGAACTACAACCCTTGACAGATAAGCAGTTTGGCTATATAGCAGATAATAAAACTTCAGCAGTAAAGAAGAAAAAAACTTAACGGTCAAATGTTAAATCCTGTTGAAGGTTATAGAACCAACATTTCAATACATATTAGTTCTTTAAAGGATGGAGGCAAACTAGATGCATTAGTAAAATGCTGCTGTCAGACTCCATAATAAAGACTTTAACTGAACAAGCACACACATCCATACATATGCAATAATACTAAGTGCAATAATCCTTTCTGTCATCGTTGTATTTTTACTCAGTTGTATATAGTATTTGTATTTGTATTCTATTTTTATCTTATTGTATATTTATTTTATTCTACTGTATATAGTATTTTATTTTATTCTATTCTGTACAGTTGTGTACTGTATTTATTCTTATTGTATTCTAATTTTTGCCTCATAACTTTTGCACTGTCCACTTCCTGCTGTGACAAAACAAATTTCCCACGTGTGGGACTAATAAAGGTTATCTTATCTTATCTTATCTTAAAAGAATACATCAGTAAAATGCAGGAAATGTGATTACTTTTAATACCCCGCAGGACTTTTCATAGCCAAAATGCACTATAACACATTAATGTCATTTGCAAAATATACAATAAAGTTTTTAAATTGTCCTTGTTTTAATATTTTTTGTTGCAGTATAAAGCAGAGGATTCGGCCGAGACCACCACAGCTGTTTCTGCAACACCTTAAAATCTGACAATGAGATAACTGACAATAAAGATCGACTTGCATCTATCTGCCTATCAGTGTTGTTCATTCTACGATAGCGTGCACTGTCACTATTGTCAGTTATAGAAATATAGAAACACTATTATCTGTAGTAGAAATTTTATCTGTAGTAGAAATTTACTGCCAGTAATGATACATTTGTAAACGTTTATCAGGACTGACATGAAAGTATAGCTGACAAAACAACAAATAAATCAAAGTGAAAATGGGATTGTATTCCTGTCTGATCACGGCTGCTGACCACAAATTGTAACAGTTATTACAGCGCATGGCGCCTCTTTAGTGTCTAAGTGCGCCAATTTAAGTGCTGGTGTATAGATTACTGTGACTTGACAGGTTCAAGGTACACTAGATGAAAATGACCTGATAAACTATGTTAGCTAAATTTGAAGTACTGATAAACTGTGGAACCAAGCAGTTTCTGATATTTTTCCTTTGATTGTATAAAATAAATATTAATACTAAATACTAGTATGACTAGTAAGACTAGATGAACAAGATATTATAAATAAAACCAATTATTCATTATTTCAAAACAAATGAATATTAATTAAGTTTTGAAAACCTATATTATGTTTTCAATGGGTTTCTCACACTCTTTAAGTGTGTTCAGTGGCCTTATAACAGGAGTCGCAAACTCATTAGAGTCTATGGGCCATATGTAGCCAACTACTTGCCAAAATTAATCCAAAAGTACATCAGCAGCTCGTTCGGGAGTTCAGGAGCTTGCCTCAGTTAAGGTCAATGATTGATCGTTCATCAAGTGGGAAAAAAAGTTCCGAGGCAAAAACCACAGCTGACCAAAAACCCTCCCAAAAAACATCTTGAATATCTCCAAGACTTTTGTGAAAATGTTCTGTCAACCGTTGAGACAAATTTGGAGTTTTTGGAAGGTTCAAATCCCATTACATCTGACAGAAACCTCAACAACATTTCATAAAAACAACATCATAGCAACAGTCATACATGGTGGTGGTAGCTTGATGATATGGGACTGTTTTACTACTTTAGCACCTGGAGAACTTCCAGTATTCATGAACAATGAATTCTGCTCTCTCCCAAAAGATCCTAAAGGAATCATTTCGTGCCCTGAAGATCAAAGGCATTTGAATTATGATCGGGCAATAATCGGAAACAGCAAGTCTGATTGGCCTAGTCACTGTCTGGACTTTGATGCTTTGATATGACTTTGAACCAGCCCTTCATGCTTAAGCACTTTCTGCAGCAATTCTTTAAAGAGAGGGCCAAAACTCCTCTATGGTGATATAAAAGAGTCATTTCCAGTTATCATAAACGCTTGATTGCATTTCTTGCTGCCAATCAATCAGTTAAACATGCATTTTGTATTTACTTGCATGGTCTTAGTATCAAAATTTGTTTGAGGATCTGAAACATGCAAGTTAGACTTAAAAAAAAACGACAAAGGGAGCAAATACTGTTTTCATGTAGCTCATCACAAAGCTTTTATTTGGTTGTTTGTTTTCCATCCGTATTACTCCACTAAAGGGGATGACTGAGCGTTTTATACAAGGTTGCGTTTGGACGATGTTTACTTGCCTGACAGCATAAATGTCACGTAGGCCGCTGCTATGTTGTTGTGTACATTGCCAGGCCCCTCATTCCAGGGCGCATGCGTCTCACTGAGGACGGCGAAGACGGTACTCAGCTGTGCAGGAAGTTAGCCGGCAGCTTCACTTACCCATAAACCCATATTTACCGCTTAATAAGAAACAAGTTGGCACGGCTCCAGCCCGTAAAAGCAGCTGGTGACAGTGGAGCTTCCAAACGACACTGAAGTCCTTGTGTTGTTTTTTCCAAGGACTGATTGACAGTCAGTGTGATAAGCGGCAGGTAACACAGAGTTCATAGTGCTACTACCCACGGTCTCTCTTTGCGGAACCTACGCGTACGTGCGGTAGTGTTGCCCGCTATCAAGAGGTTCAAATCAGGACACATCGGCGACTATGTGTTCGGTAATAAGCAGAGTGAAGCCCGTTCAGCGGGCCCTGGCTTCGACGCTACGGCTCAGGACAAACGCTGACGGCTTGAATTACGCGGCAGCCCAGAGCAGGCGCTTCTGCCCCGGCTTTATCACTGGAGCTCAGCCGCTATGGGTAACCAGCAGATCCTACTGCGCCAGGATAGCAACGACGGATGGACTCCTCTTCAGACAGGTAGGTTATAGATGATTATACCTTGCCATTTTGCGCCCGTTTGGATCCTCCTGCCTTCAGGAAGAAAACGACATTTTCTTTAGGATTTTTTGCAACCGTCTTTACGGCGTAAAGTAGGAAGTGAGTTAGCATTTAGCTCGTTGTTATATTTCTGATAAGGAGCATTTAATTTTAGTTCTTTTAATGCGCAACCAAGTTAGGTTGTTGGATGAATTATGTGGATCATTTTCGAGTCAAACAACCCTTTAAGTTGATCTATGCGCAGTTTTGTTTCGGATACTAAAACTTGACAGCTAATCTTTCAGGGGCATTTGTATGACCCCTAAATGCTTCCTGACACAGTTGATAAGGATGTTTTTATATGATAACAAGTTGCCCTATATTATAATCTGTTCTTTCTTTCAGTTTTTTGGTCTCTTACAAACATTGTCTATGAATGAGTGTGTAACCCTTGTTACCCTTGCGCTATTGTTTTCATTTATTACTGAGTCACACCTGTGTACTCACCTTTTTTTCCCTCCGCCCCCTTTAGTTGTTTGAAGTGGAGAGCAGCACGTACACCTACCTGCTGGCAGACGCAGACACCAAGGAGGCTGTCATTATTGATCCTGTGCTGGAGACCATTGACAGGGACCTGAAATTCGTAAGCGAACTTGGACTCAAACTGACAGTGGCAGGTATCTACCTTCCCAAAGTTGAGTTAAAACATAACAACTTAAGGAAATGTGCTCCATCTTCCTAACCCTGACACTAAGATGCATTTTCAGATCAGCCCTACTTAAAGCTTGAATGAACTTTATGAAAACATACTTCATTATTACCCTTGGGGCCAAAATAAATATAGTACTGGACTTGTTTCCCTCTTTAAACGTCTGTTTTCTGGGGGAAATTTAAATTGAGTCTCTGTCCCTGAGCCAATATACGTTAATGTGTATTTATATACATACATATATACATGCACGTATGTATGTATATATTATATTATATTATAATATATTATAATAATACCTAAGAGTAAATATTATGAAATGATTTTGCAGTGATCTGTGTTCCACTGACTCTTCTTATATGCAGATTAAAATATACAGTAATCTTGACTCGCATTCAAACTTTCTTTTTATTTTTTTAAGTTAACACCCACTGCCATGCAGACCACATAACAAGTACTGGCCTGATGAAGAAAAGACTTGCCGGACTGAAGAGTGCCATCTCCAAATTCAGTGGTGCATCTGCTGATATCCACCTAAAAGAGGGAGACAAGATCCCCTTTGGAAGACACGTATGGCGAAAAAAAGTTCTTTTTTTATGATGGAGTGTTTGTAAGTGTTGCATACCTGTTTGGTTATGTTTGCTTTATAAAACTAATTTAACATGACACTTGTCTTTTCTCTTCTTTAGTCTCTGACTGTGAGAGAGACACCAGGACACACTGATGGGTGTATAACGCTGGTAACTGGGGATCAGAGCATGGCTTTCACTGGTGACGCTCTCCTCATTAGAGGCTGTGGCAGGACAGATTTCCAGCAGGGTACGCATGCTCTTTTGGCTTTATGCTTGTTTTTGTTCATTTTCATTTGTAGTGTTTCTGTATGAACACAAGGGGGCAGTATTGCAGCCATTGCCTTTAGCAGTTTTCTAAGTTTTCTCTCATTTCTTAAGGTTGTGCCAAAAGGCTCTACCAGTCAATCCAGGAGAAAATCTACACCCTGCCTGACCACTGCCTCATCTACCCAGCACATGACTACTTAGGTTGGCTGAAACACATGCAGACACACATTTATGTATTTTATAGAGTCATTAGTGTGAATGTTTTTATGTAATACAGATTTTCAGCTTGTGCTTAAAAGCACTGAAAATGTAAAGCTATTAATTTCCCACTAATGGGAGCTGGAACAGATGTTGTATACATGTTGTTTTTATAGTGCATATTTAGTGTTGTTAGAAGCATGTTTCTGTATAAATGTTTTCATTGACCAGATTTAACATGTGACAAAAATCAGGACCACGAAGACTAAAGATGTCACACTGGTCTGCATCTGTTTTTGCGTTTCAGGTCAGACGGTTTCTACAGTGGGCGAGGAGCGCAAGTTTAACCCACGCTTGACTAAGAGCATGGAGGAGTTTGTGAAGATCATGAACAACCTGAACCTCCCTAAGCCTAATAAAATAGGTATTTAACAATAGTATCTACAGCCTTTCACTATCCATGTCATCTCCACATTTCTAGTTCTCGCACCTATGAGACGTCACCACAGGTTTTACGTGCTGGGCGTCACATTTACTATAAACATTTCTTCCTTGTTCTGTTGCAGATATTTCAGTGCCTGCCAATCTGGTTTGTGGACTGCACCATGTTTGAATGTTCTGCACGAAAGACGATACTAATGACATCATTGCCCAGTGATAGACATTCTGTGTCTGTTTAGCAGAATTAATCAAACTACTTGCCATAAAGTGCTTTATTGTGGTTCTGTGTCTAAATCTAAATGGCATATTTTAACTGCTCTTATCATTTATAGTGCAGCTACTGATCAATTGTAATTGGAATAAATCTGCTTCTATTTTGGATATTCAAAATAATTAATATCTGTATTTGAGGAAAGAACAGTAATGGTACCCTTTGTTAACTGTGTAAAGTTAAAAGTAAGTTGACCTTATTCAGATTTGTTATTATGTGTAAATTTGGGGAGGAAGAGGAAAGCTTGGATAGGATTGTTACACTGAAGGTTCAGTTTAGTATTTGTGAATGCTTAAAAGGTACAATTGCGTCGTGTAGTCAAGGCCTCACACACTCACAGTACCACAAGCAGTGGCCTCTTTTAATAGCAGGAAAATAAAACTTATGCTGTTTGCATTTAAAATCAATAACAGCTAAGATGTTACTGCACAACATGTCATAGCATTATGAGCTCACATGTTCCTTTTATATGTTGAAAATGATGATTATTATTTACTCTCTAGCTCTAAAAGAAAGAATCAGACTGCAGTGACCCATGCATGCTGTTCTTGTATTTAACAGATCCTCAGCCAGTAAGACGGGTTTGTTTTAGAGTGCTTCCCTTTGACTCAGCCACACAAACTTGCAGCTGTGTGACAATTTGAGCCTGAGGTTTTTGGAGGCCAGAATCAAAATGTTCATAAGCAAGTGATTTCATGTGAATATAACTTTTTACTATTGCCTTTTATTAAGAGAGCACCACATCAGTTGCATGTATCAATTCTGGTTCTCTCCTCATGGGGGAACACTACCTGCCAGGTTAACTCAGACTTTTTATGTCTTTGGCTGCTATGGATGAAGCCCTGTGGTGATGATGGTTTGAGCCTGAAAACCCGAGTGAATATGGATGTCTCATGTTCACCAAAGACTGTCATTAAATAAATTCCAAGTTGAATGAACATGGTGTAGAGCTGTATTTCAATCCTCAAACAGCCTGCTCAGTAAACGCCTCTCTCTACTGTACATTCAAAGTGTCTTGAATGCAACATTGCACATGCTTTTGAGTAGCATATTGTAAAATCTAGGATTCAGTATTGTGTCTGTGTAATCTAAAATAAAAGTCACATTATCTCTGCTTGACCCAGAGCATACTATTTGTGGTCAAGTTCACAATCAGTGAATAGCTAAAAAAAACAAGATGTACTGATACGAGCATTATTAAATGGATGGTTGTGGTTGTTCCCAATAAAACGGCGAGCCGCAGTGGTCTGTGACCTTGAGTGACTTTGCATTAAAATTAGTTTAATTAGAGAGCCATTATAAGGAGAAGTGTGACTGAAAAATGTATATGGGGAAAAAGCTGTAACAGCAAAGATACTTCTCTAAGTCTAACTTTTATAAAAGTAAAACACTTAAAAGTGTTTAAATTCTTCTTCATCTTATTATCAGTAATATTATTAACAATAATTTTATTGATGATGATCATAAAGATAGTGTGCAGTACGTGATGTTCTTCCTTTTTATCATGATGACTTCTGAAAATTATTCTAATTTGGGGGCGTTACCAAGGCAGGTAGGCAGGTATGTAGGTAGGCAGGTAGGTGTGGTTAGGGTTTTAAATAGTCATGCTTTACACAGCAACCCAGAGTTTGTGTTTCTGTCCCGATTAAAACGCTGCCGGTTACCAGCTGCTCATACTGTGCAAGAATGGCAATGGTAAAGGGACTCCTCTTCAGACAGGTATGTTCACATCATATTTGGATGTTCTGCACTTGTTTAAAACGATCTGTCCTGAAAAAATAAATATTGTTCAAAATTGTTGAGTTTAGATTAACCAGTTTACATAATGGTGGAAGATGTGTTTATATATTCTACTAAAGTGGAAGTAGGAGTGCAGAAAACAAAATATAAAAAGTTTGTTTGTCTAAAAAGCAATAGCATCACTATAAAGTACCTTAAGTGAAAGAAAACCTGCTCAAACTACCCACTTCAGAGATGCATATCATATTGTTAATATGTTTGATATTTTAAGTTGATGAAAGAACAAATCTGAATTACTTGATGCTCTGCATCTTAATCTAAAATAGAAATTATTTGTTGATTAATAATTTATATCCCTGCCATATAACTAATGCTAATAGCTTCTGAATAAATGTGGTGGATTACAAAGTGCAATACTTTATTTCAAGCTTCATATGAAAATGTCTCTCTTTGGCTACCGTAGACACACAAAGCACACGTTATCTATAAACACAAGTGAGGAGAAATGATAATAATGTAACCTTTACTACCGCTCCCATTTACTGTTAGTTATTGCTGTTTGCTGCTTTGTGCTTCCCCTCCAACATTTAGCTGTTTGAGTCTGAGAGCTCCACATATACCTACCTGCTGGCAGACGCAGACACCAAGGAGGCTGTCATCATTGATCCTGTGCTGGAGACCATTGACAGGGACCTGAAATTCGTAAGCGAACTTGGACTCAAACTGACAGTGGCAGGTAACTACATAAATTAACACAGAATCCCATCTTTCTCAGCCTGTAAATACAAATTAGGAGCAGCATAAATATTTTACCTGGTTCAGAAATGATTGTTTATTTCTGACCCAAAAACGTTGTTAAGTGTAGGTAATGCTATTTGTATGAAAGGACTCCTGCTAGTGTAATACATATATCTTTCCGAATTGGAAATACACTTACCAGCCACTTCATTGGATACACCTATTTAATACACATATTTAAAAACAGTGCATTTACGCATGTAGACATCATTAAGATATCCTCCTGAAGTTCAGTCCAAGCATCAGAAAAGGGGAAAGGTGATTCGAAGAAACTTGACGCATATGGGCTTCGGCAGCAGACGAGCACACTGTGTGCCAGTCCTGTCAGCTAAGAACATAAACCAAGACCATAATTTGCACCAAAATTGGACAATGGAAAACTGGAACAAACCTTGCTGTGGCATTTGAGTGTTTAGTTCAGGATTCGGCATAAGCGACATGAATCAAACGACCTATTATTATTATTATTATGAAACGACCTGTTATTAAAAGTTCAGGCTGCTGGTGATGGTGGTATAGTAGTGTGGGTGATATTTTCTTGACACACTTTCGGCCCGTTACTACCAACTAAGCATCGTTTATACCCCACAGCCTACCTGAGTTACTGATGTCGATCTTTTTGTGATCACAGTGTACCTATTTTCTGATGGCTGCTTCAATCACCATAATAATGCAAGTCACAAAGTCTGGTTTCTGTACTCAAATGGCCTCCAGAGTCACACAGCCTTAATTCAATAGACTGTGGTGAAAGGGAGATTAGTGTCATGGATGTGTAGCTGACAAATCTGCAGTAACAGTGGGATGTTGTCATGCCTACATGCTACATGGACCAAAATCTCTAACACTTAGTTGAATCTGTGTGACGAGGAATCAAAGGTGTTCTGAAAAGGAAAAAAGTGTCCAACCCCCTACTCGCTAAACTGATTGGAGGGTGTACCACAAGTCTCAATTATATTCCAGCTTTATATTGACCTACATTATCTTTATTTTGCTGATAGTTAACACCCACTGCCATGCAGACCACATAACAAGCACAGGACCAATGAAGAAAAGAGTACCTGGACTGAAGAGTGCCATTTCCAAACTTAGTGGTGCATCTGCTGATATCCACTTAACAGAGGGAGACAAGATCCCCTTTGGAAGACACGTAAGAAGAAAAAAACATTATTTGTTTGCAATATCGTGTGCGTACAGTTATTTTGTAAATACCTAAAAGCTTTTGTTGCATTTGCTTGATAAAACCTATTTAATTAACATGCCTTGACATTCTTCTTTTCTCTTCCTTTAGTGCCTGATTGTGAGAGAGACACCAGGACACACTGATGGGTGTATAACGCTGGTAACTGGGGATCAGACTATGGCTTTCACTGGTGATGCTCTCCTCATTAGAGGCTGTGGCAGGACAGACTTCCAGCAGGGTACACATACTCTTTTGGCTTTATGCTTGTGTTTTTGTTCATTTTGCGTTTCTATGATTTTTATTCTTGTTGGAAAAGGGGGGAGTACAGTATCAGTTTTCCTTTGCAGTTGTCTAACCTTTGCCTTATTTTCTTAAGGTTGTGCCAAAAGGCTTTACAAGTCAGTCCATGAGAAGATCTTCACCCTGCCTGATGAGTGCCTCCTCTACCCAGCACATGACTACTTAGGTTGGCTGAAAACACATCCCCAAATATTTATACATGTTACAAAGTCACTGAAGGGAATGGTTTATATAGTACTATTGTGTAGCAGTATGCATTACATCATATATAAAAGCATAGCAAAATTAAATTCATTAGTTTTCTGCTGACAGGAGTCGGTACAGATGCTCTGCAATCTGTATAGTATGTTCTGTTTTTAGGTTTTTACAGGGCAGTTGTTGTGCGCCGGCTCCATTTTTTCTAGCTCTGAAATGGACTGGAAACATGTCCAGGGTGTAGCATCTGGCTGATTCACTGGTCTCCATCTGTTTTGTGTTTCAGGTCGGATGGCTTCGTCAGTCGGCGAGGAGCGCAAGTTTAATCCACGCCTAACAAAGACCATGGAGGAGTTTGCAGATATCATGAACAACCTGAACCTGCCCAATCCCAAAAAAATGGGTAAGAAAAAAAAATAAACTATCATATTTACAGTTCTGCAACCAACTATGTTTTCCAGTAAAAAGCACTTTATTTATTTATTTTATTTTTTTGCAGCAACTGCAGTGCCTGCTAATCTGGTTTGTGGACTGCAAGACTAAATGTGTAGACTGAATGTGCTCCACAAGAGGATAATAATGAAAACACATAATTGTAATAATTGTAGAGTAATTAACATTTGCATCTCTATTTTGTGGGACATTAGTCAAAATGTTTACTATAAAGTGATTTTTAATGATTCTGTATGGTATATATATAAGGTATATACTTGAATTGCTATTTCAATACATTTTAAATGTATGTAAGAAAAAGTTTCTTGAACGTAAGAAAATTTTTCAGATGATTTGTTATGAATTACTTATGAGCAGGAAAGTTCATATACCAACATTCTCCTCAAGGTTAGGTTAGTAATCATGAAAGCTTCTGTGCAGGAAAAGGCTTTTTTGCATAGCAGGACATAAAATTTGCTTACTATAAAAACTTTGTAACTTGGTTTAGATTCTGTTAAATAAATAATGACACTGAATCATAGTCGTGTTGTGTTGATCATCTGAGGTTATATTTCATCTACTTTCATGAACTGTTAGAGATCAGATAATTATAATGTGATATGTAAAAGCTTAGAATTGAAAGATGGTGTACTTTTTCATGTATTTCAGTTGGATTCCAATCATTAAGTAATTTAGGAAAAAAAACTATATTAATGTTATTTTTTAGTTACTATCATTTTGTTTTTCATAGCAACCGTTCCCCACAGATATGTGGTGATGCCACACTTTCTCAGTTTAATGCTCATGATGGCTCATCCAATGGGTGTGTGTGAAGGAGTTTTAAAACAAAGTTGTTATTGTGTAAATGGCACCACATTTTATAGACCTTTAAAATAAAATCACATAAATATTAAAACCAGCCTTCAACAAATGTTTTAGAGTCTCTTTCATGCAAACTTGCTGATAGGCACACATATCTACAATACTAAAAGAAAACGACTCTCTTGGACTTTCTGCATTTAATGAACTATTCCGTGGCTACCTTACTGGTTCCTGTTATGACTACTATTGTGTCTATACTATTAACAGGGTCTGTTAAAGTCTTTTAAAATAAAATCCATTTAATTATTATTATTAATATTATTTCAGGGCAGCACGGTGGTTAGCACTGTTGCCGCACAGCATGAGGTCCTGAGTTCAATTCCACCATCAGGCCGGGGTCTTTCTGTGTGGAGTTTGCGTGTTTGCGTGGGTTCTCTCCGGGTACTCCGGCTTCCCCCCACCGTCCCGCCCCTCTCCTTCCTGTGCAGCTGGCAGCACCTCGTAAATGGAGGGCACCTCGTCGCAAATGGGCAATGCAAGACCGATCGGTGCCCATGCAATCCCCAAAATGCGCTGACATAATGTCGGGGCAGCGTGGGTGCGAGCAACTTTTTTTTGCCGATGCTATGATGCCGCCCCCACCACGCTTCCGCCCTGGGCAATGGCCCATGTCGCCCATATCGAAACCAGCCAATGTTAGGGAAGTAGGGAAGTAGGTAGGTGGGTGTGGTCACTGATCACGATTGTTGTTGGGTGTGGCTTGTTGACATTCCTGGGACGACTCAGGACAAATGCAGGGGACTCGAATTAGGAAACAAAACAGATGCGTCTGTCCCGGTTGAAGCACTGTTTTTCAGACGCTACGGGTTACCAGCAGATCGCACTGAGCCAGGATGGCAAAGACGGAAGGGCTCCTCTTCAGACAGGTAGTCTGTCGGCATATTTTGATGGCTTGCTCCTGTTTGTTTACAACCATACGTGGTAACGAAGAGGCAAGAGTACTTGTAGTTTTTTTGTACCACCGGTTGTGGGAAGTGAGCTCGGTAGCTTTAGCCGTTAGCATCTTGTTTTCTGTCTATGAAGTTCCTTTCTGCATTAGTTCCTTTAAAGTTCAGGTGGGTTTTTGTGCTCAGCTGTCAAACAAATTTTGGATTTTCAGACTCTTGTGTGGTGTCCTGCATCCTGATAAAAGTGGTATTACAAGGAAATGACGGCTGAGCAAAAGTCCCAAAAGTTTTGAAGTTTCTTTTTCATAATTGCTAAACGAAATGCGTTAGATGTACTTAAATAAAAGTAGCGCAGCTACAGTGTAAAGTATACATGAGATATATAAATCACTTAATGACCCCTTTAAAAACCACATTTACTATTGCTTTATGTTACTGTTTCTGGTCCTGCTTTGAAGCAGTGTGATATCTGAATGACTTTATAAACCACTCTTAATCTGTAGTAAGTGACAAAAATTAGTAGCAGGTTTATGATTCATATAGCTACACTATTACTACTACCTATATCTGCAAAACAGCAACGTATGTGTCTTCAAAAAAGTAGCTTTGCATGGGAATGCTTAATGAAGTATACCTCATGTGCATGCATCATGTGATGAAAATTGCTGTGTCATATGACCCTACATTTTTTTTTATTCTAATATTTGAAACCAGCTGATAAATTGATCACATGCCATCTTTAAAAAAAGGCATTTCAAGAAAGAAAACTCCTGCTTGTTTAACAATTGTTCAAGTTGTTGTGTGATATGCCCAGACACATCACAATGAGGAAGTATATCAGTAAGTGATTCTGTCGCCAACTGGTCATAAACGCAGAATTAATGGGTAACTTGGTAAATGTTTAAGAAGTAAACATTTTGCATTGATTACTGAGATACTCACCAGACCCTATACGGAGGCCTGCTTGTTGAACAAACACAAATATCTAATCGGCTAATCACATGGCAGCAGCTCAGTGCATTTAGGTATGTAGATCGTCAAGATGACCTGCTTAAGTTAAAACCGAGCATTAAAATGTGGAAGAAAGGTGATTTAAGTGTCTTTAAATGTGGCAGACAAGCTTATGTGAAAGTTACAGAAACGGCTGATTTAAATGGATTGCCCTACAAAACCATCAATTAAAAGAATTTGTTAAACACCACAGCCTGCCTGAGTTATGTTGCTGATCATTATCCATCCATCTTTGACGACAGCATACCCATACTTGGATGGTTGCCTTCAGCAGGATAACGCTGCATGTCACAAAGCTCATATCATCTTAAACTGGTTTCTTGAACATGAAAATCAGCTTACTGTACTCAGGTAAACTCCATAGTCACCAGATGTCAATGCAGTAGAGCACCTTTGGGATAGGAGATTCGAATCTCAGATGTGCAGCCAACAAATCTGCAGTAATTATGTGATGATATCATGTCAGTGTGGTGCAATATATCTCTAACACCTTATTGAGTCTATGCCAGAAAGGATTCAGGCAGTTTTTAAGCCAAAAGGGGGTGTTACTAGCAAGATATACCTAATAAAGTGACTGTTGACTGTAGTTCATACCGTGATCTGTTCTGTCTCTTATTATCTTTTGTTGTGTCAGACACACCCTGTCTAAGTATGGTGAGGACACGATGTTTACTGTGCCTTTCCTGTTATTATTTATTGCTGAATCACACCTGTGCTTTGTTCACTGTTCTGTTTTCTTTTTCATTTAGCTGTTTGAGTCAGAGAGCAGCACGTACACCTACCTGCTTGCAGACACGAACACCAAGGAGGCTGTCATCATTGATCCTGTGCTGGAGACCATTGACCGGGACCTGAAGCTCATAAAGGAACTTGGACTCAGTCTAACAGTGGCAGGTATCTACCTTCCCAGGGTAGAGTTAAACGATAAATTATGACAGTTGTATGAAATGTTTGTCCTATCTTCTCCATGTTGTAAATACATTTACATTAGGGGCAACATAAATGTAATATTAGACTAATCTGTATGGCAGTGAGCAAGAAATAACTGTGTGTCCGTTCCTTGCCCCGTGACCGTTGTTTAGTGTAGACAATAGCAGACAAGGCTGCGGGGACATGTCTAAAAATAATAATTAAAAAAGGCCGAATTTAAAGCATACACTGACTGGACAGTTTATTAGATACACATTGCTAGTACTATGTCTGAATCCTTTTAGCTTTCAGAACTGCCTTAATTCTTCATGGGATAGATTCAACAAGGTGCTGAAAACATACCTCAGAGATGTTAATCTGTATTTACATGATAAGATCACGCAGTTGCTGCAGATTTGTCAGCGGTACATCCATGATCTCCACCACATCTTCCACATAACTTGCTTGTAATGAGTGGTGGACAAGCCCATGTGACACTATCAACCGTATTGCATTCAAAGTCACCTAAATCACCTTTGGTCGTCACTGTGATGCTCAGTCTGAATTCCAGTAAGTTGGCTTGAATATGCCTAGATATCGAAACACATTAATTTTCTGCCATGTGATTGGCTGCTTGGGTATTAGCGATAACGAGCGATGAAACCAGTGTGCTTAATAAACTGGACATTGACTGTCTCGCCTATATACACATTGCATAAGTTTATACCAAGAATCAATATTAAATCTTTCAATTGGTGATAAATGCAGTGATTTTTCTGGTAGTTAACACCCACTGCCACGCAGACCACATAACAAGCACTGGCCTGATGAAGCAAAGAGTGGCTGGACTGAAGAGTGCCATCTCCAAGTTCAGTGGTGCCACTGCTGACATCCACTTAACAGAGGGAGACAATATCCCCTTTGGAAGACACGTAAGAAGAAAACCACTCTTTGTTCTTTGTTTATAATAGTGTTTGTAGGTGTTGTATACAGTTGCTTGATAAAACTGATTTGACATGCTTTGATTTGATACCTGTTTGGTTTTGTTTGCTTGATAAAACTGATTTAACACTTGTCTTTTCTCTTCTTTAGTCTCTGACTGTGAAAGAGACACCAGGACACACTGATGGGTGTATAACCCTGGTAACTGGGGATCAGAGCATGGCTTTCACTGGTGACGCTCTCCTCATTAGAGGCTGTGGAAGGACAGACTTCCAGCAGGGTATGCATGCACTCTTTTGTGGTTCTTCTAAATGAACACAAGGGGGCAGTGTTTCATATGTTTTCCATTGCAATTGTCTGATTTATAGCTATTCTTCTAAAGGTTGTGCCAAAAAGCTATACCATTCAGTCCATGAGAAGATCTTCACCCTGCCTGATGAGTGCCTCATCTACCCAGCACATGATTACTTAGGTTGGCTAAAAACACACATTCACACGCAAATGTTTGTAAATGGGTATTGCGTATCTTAAGAGTCACTGATGTGAATAATTTCGAACAGCACAGATTTGAAGCTCAGCCACATCGGCCATTAGTTTCCCACTCATAGGAACTGGTACAGATGTAGTGTATATATATTGTTTTTACAGTGCATGTGTTGTGTGTCAGAAGCATGTTGTTTCTTTGTAAATATTTTAATTGTTCAGATTTAACATCTGGCAGAATTTAGAACTACAAAAACTAAAACTGTCATGCTGGTCTGCATCTAATTTTGCGTTTTAGGGCAGACGGTTTCTACAGTGGGCGAGGAGCGCAAGTATAACCCACGCTTGACTAAGAGCATGGAGGAGTTTGTGGAGATCATGAACAACCTGAACCTCCCTAAGCCTAAAAAAATAGGTATGAAAGACAGTGGCATCAGGATTTCAGCCAACAACCACCTCTGTCTGCTAGTAAACACAATTCTTAAGTCATGTCCTAAAGAAGATGTTTTTGCACTGGTTTGGCTACATCAAATGTCACATTTACTAAAAACACATTTTCCATCTACTTTTGCAGATATTTCAGTGCCTGCTAATCTAGTTTGTGGAGTGCACAGCATTTGAATGGATGAAAAAGGCTTCTACTAAAGTCCTGAGCACCACCACAAAATGATTGATATTTACATTTTAATCGAAATTGCTTATCTCAGAGTGCTCTATTGTGGTTCCCTGTGTAAATGTAAAAGTTAATTTTTGAACTGTTGTGATTATTTTTTGTTAAGCTACTTACAGTATATTTAAAAAATGTATATTTATGTTTATTTTAGCTGTTTATGAATGCATTTTAAAAATGGTAATAGTATACTTTGTTAATGGTGTAAAGTTGTTTACATTTTTATGTAAGTAGTTCATTCAGCTGTGTTATTGTGAATTGGGAAGGAAATTTATGAGCAGGAAAACTGGGGTAGGAATGTTCCATTCAAGGTTTGATTTAGTATTCATGAATGCTTAACTGGGACAAATGAGTTCTTCCACATGGCCTTTTCAGTGGTTCCGGTCTCCCCTAGCCAAGGATACGCAGGCATGCACACACACTCTTTCAGTCTTGTGTAGGCAATGGCTTTTTTGCATAGCAGGGAACTAAAACTACACTATTTGCATTCACAATCAATAAAGGCAAGTTTTCCTTGCACAATGTGCCATTGCAATCTGTTTGTGATCTCATAAGTTCCTTTAGATGTCCAACAGGAATTTGATTTTTTTTTTTAATGTCTATTATGATCAAAGGAAGGTACAAAAAAGTGAGCTCATGCCAGGATTCAGAACTGCTTCCAGATTTTCCAATGACTGTGCAAGCTGTTCTCATAGTTAACAGATCATCAGCCCGCAAGACAGGTTTGTTTGGGCGTGCTGCCCTCTGACTCAGTCACAGAAACTTCTACATGTGGGAGTTAGCTGTGTGATCATCTGAGGATTGATCCTGAGCCTCTGGGGGCCTGAGTCAAAATGTTTGTTTTCAAGTGCCCGCACTTGTTTGAGGAACTTCCACAATTAACAGATTATTTGTGAAGATGAATCATTATTGTTGATACATCTGGCATTTCTAAGTGGTTTGGCACTTTTAATCTCCAGTAGTCTGAAAAACATACGAATGCTCCATACTCAAAGACCGTCATTAAACAAAACAGAGTTCAAGATAAATGAAAATTGTGTTCTACTGTATTTGTATTCTCAAATAGCCTGCTAAAAAAAGACACAACCATCCTGATAAAATGAACAATTGGAATCTACCATGTTTCCCAAGTCTCTTGTACACAACATTATACATGCTTTGAGTAGCATTATGGAAAATTTAGTCACATCTGCAGGGAATAATAGTCAAAATGTGTGTCTGACCATTTTTAAATACCTCTACATTATGTAAGTGCAATTAAATCACATGAATAGCCCTTAAACTTTTCTTAATAGTACAACAATAATATCCCAAAGAGCACTATTTCTAGTCCAGATAGTTCTAGTTCAGAGCCGTCTGTTTACAAAGAGATAACCTAAACAAGATGCACTGATATAGAATTATGAAGCATGTGTGATGTTTAAGGTTGTGCCATCAATCCAGATTAAATGCTATAGTAGCCTGTTACTAACACAGTAAAAACTATCTGATGAGTTGAACCAGAGACATATAGAGGTATAAGAAGAGGAGACATGGCACTCAAGTTAAATCTAAAAGAAGTTAAACTGCCACTTTTGTGTAGTTTTCATGGTGATTAATGACATTAAGATGAATTTAAACCAGTGCTTCAAAATAAGCATCCAGGTAAGTTACTAAAGGTTCTTTGGTTTTACACAGTGAATTGCACAGGTCTAAAACATGAGGACAACAGTGCACTCCTATCAGCAGGAAACTGAAAAATCTAAACAGCAAATGGATTATTATTTATTAGGGGTGCAACAATACTCGTATCGATATTGAACCGTTTGATACAGTGCTTTCGGTTCTGTACGCATATGTATCGAACAATACAATTTTCTTTATTTATTTTATCAACTTTTCTTCTGACGATGCTGTCTGTGTTGAGCGCTCAGTGGATCTGCGTTTGACTACTCCGCCTAGGCTGCACTGTCGAGTGCAGATCCACTCAGCGCAGCGCAAGCTAGCAAGACAGAAGCTAAGCTCGTTGCAACATGGCAACTGCCTCAACGCTAGCCGAAATTGAACCTCCCCCACCCTCATTCAGATCTGGCCTTTGGGACTATCTTGGTTTTCATGTGAAGCATGACCCTGATGGTAAGCTCGTCATGGACAAAAGCAAAACAGTATATCGGATGTGCCACGCAATGCGCAATTGGTGGGAACTAGTGCGTTAGCGCAGTTAGCTTGTTAACGTGTTGCCGTCCAGCCCCACGCACGGGGCTATCCGCGGTAACTTGTTAACGGAGATTTGCCGCGTTATGGCGTTAACGTCATTTTAACGAGATTAACGCTGACAGCACTAGTGGGAACACAAAGAATATGACTGCACATTTACACCGACATCATCCTAGTGCAAAGACAAGTGGAAGCAGACAAAAACAACAAGCACGCATGTACAAACTTTACCGAGTCATTTAGACAGCCGTTAGCACATGATTCTCCTTATGGGGACCTCATATGTTTAATATGCTGCTGAGAATATTGCCCAGAAGAAGCGGATAGTATAGCTTTTATTTTGGAAAGACCCATTTCTCTGTAATAAACTCTTTTCCAAAGATGAGTGATTTCTCGATCAGATAGATTTATTTTTTTTGTTATTTTGTTGTTTCAGCAACATTAAATTTAAAAACTGTACTTTTGAGTTAAAATATATTTATAATTTTAATAAATGACAAATTGAAAAGGCATGAACATTTTTTTGTATCGAAAAAATATCGAACCGTGACACCAAAGTATCGAACTGAACCGTGATTTTTGTGTATCGTTGCAGTCCTATTATTTATAGAACAATTTTCTGATTTTACTAAGCAAACAAATACTTGTTAATGAAACAGTACTGGAATAGTGAGTTCTATCTAATGATAAGAGTCCAATATGGTCCTGTTACACTATACTGGTCTGACGTATATTGGATCCAATTCCTACTGATGTTCCTACTAATATTAAAGGAAAACATGTAAGTTACAGAAAACTTTGCTTTTGCTGGGTGTTGCTTTATTTCATGCAAGTTAACACTGTGAAGCACCATCTAGCAGCTGTCTCTGTCTGCCTTCCAGACAAACAGCATTATTATTATTCCACCTCACCTCGTGTACTCGCTGACAGACACCTGCATTGTTCTTTATTCAAAGCAGGAGGTGTATGTGACTATTGTTGCCATCAGGCTGAAGATATGTTACTTTGCAACGTAAAATGTTGTCTTTGCTCTTTTACTGCTGGGAATCAATGTGCCAGCTGTCCTTTCACCCACTCTTTCTCACCCATCTGCCAGCCAGTGTTTTTTTTTTAACCGCTCCCTCTCAAGCCACTTACACTATGTCACTATTAACCTGCTGCCCATTCTCTCTCACACAGCCACATGTCACTGGAAAGAATCTATTACACTATCGGCTCATTCACAAGAAGATGTGTAAAGAGGCCAGTCAGGGTGATAAAGCCCTCAGAGTGAAAGGAGTGGATTTTGCCTCTGGGAAAAGTCACTATTTAACATGCGGAAGTAAATTTGTGGTGTGTAGGTCCAGAGTTCAGTGTGCTATTTTATGTTCTATAAGTAACTAGAGTTTTAGCATTTTCTGCTCACCAAGTAGCATACTGTATCACAGTAACATGTCAGAGATTCATGGTATTTCAGTCTCTACAAGAATGAGTAGAAATCTGCCAGAAAGCAGACATAGATAAGCTCTTACAGTACTACATATGTTTTTGCATATGCACAGTGATTTAGGTCAATGGGTTATTTTTTGTAGCACAAGCTTAAGTTTTTGAGCCTTTGTGTCTTGATGGTCATCATTTGTATATGTATGACTATTTTCAGGAACCTTTTTAGGAATTTAAAGTGTGAACATGTAGTTTTAAACTGTTTATGTGCTAGTGTTTTATGATTCCTGTGTTCCACACACCCCAAAATCTGGTGAACATATTGGCATCCCAAGGCCCCTGTTTCTAATAAACTTTAATAAAAGAATAACTTTCATGAGATCATGTAGAACCCTGTGGTCTGTTGACATGCTTCTGATGACACTTTATGGAGGTTTTATGTCTTTGTTCTATATTATAACAAAACGAAGCCTTCCTTTCCTACCCTGCAAGGGTAGGCTACCAAAATGTAGAGATGACCAGAGACCCCTCCTTATGATTTGGGTTTAAATAATTTGATTAATTTTTTGGAAATATGTATCAAATGAAGCAAAATTACTTAGCTATCATACCCCATGAAGTATCTATTATCTGTGTGCAGGTTCAAGAAAGTCTCAAAACAATAATGGAAAAGCAATCTATTTATTCGTGTACATGCACATAAGCTGCCACTTTTATTTTTCATTACATTAAGCACAACTTTGAGACTAATGTACTTAAGTATGAAATTTCTTGCCTGCTGCAGTGGTCTAGTGTCACCCTGGCAACCAACAAAATAAACCTTTCAAAAGAAAAAACTGCAACTGGTGCATTTTTACCCAAACCACGACCTCTTTTCTGAACCTAACCAAGTATCACAAGATCATACCGAGGTTTTTAAATGTACAAAACCCAACCATGTAGTTTTATTAAGAGGGTGTAAAAAATCTCTTCAAAAGGGGAAATTCTTCACCCTGTATACCTGGACACCAGTCAATAGATATTAAACTTGTGTTCAGTTAAATGAAACTATGGGGGTCAAGTTTGGACAACTTTTGTTCAGAAGCACAAATTATTAGATTAAACTGGCTGTTTCATGAATTTTGTGACAAATTTGGACAAATCTGTCACAAAATTAGGCCCCCCCTAGGGAGTTAATCCGGCCATGCTTCTCAGAACTAAATTGGAGCCTGTGCAGTTGTTTCAGCCTCTTCTGTATCAGTATATTATTATATTATTCCCACAGGAGCATGTCATCAAATGTATTTAAGTAGTCTCTTCGCAGAGTATGGCAGCATGCCCAGATCACTCCACAATGAGAAAACCCGGTCAGTTCCCAGAATAGAAATCCCATTTCAGTGCCAGACTTGAACGAAACTCTCCCTGAGGTCTCCACAGCGCAGAAACCGGGTGTGAGGTCTGTCGAGAAAAAAGGTATGCATACTGGTTTGTGACTACCGCTAGCCTTAACACTTTAATTAGTCGGCATCCGCCTTCTCTGTCGTCGCCCTCCTCCGCGTGCTTTCACCTGTTGGTGCCGACAAACCGCTCGCGCTCATCTGTCATTATTTTTCTTTTTGCTGGGAAGGGACTGAATCAAACCAGGTGAGGATTACACACCAGAAAAAATGCGGTCGGTTTAACAGAGACAGCAGCTGGCGAGGTCAAAGTAACGCTGACAGTACCTGAAAGTGAAACAGCGTTCAAAAAAAGTTTACTGAAGTGACTCTTCGCTGTTTTTTTCCCCCCTCTCGTGTTTTCCCTTCTGACTTAGTCCGGCTTTGTCACTATGCTATGACTCGTCAGAGGACCCGCATGTCTTGCTGAAGTTGGACCACGTTTATCAGGTAAGAGCCGTATTTTTGTTTTTGAATCGGTTTTGTTGTTTAGCAGCA